GTTGGACTGTGAAATAGGAAGTTATATAGGAATGTTATTAATTAATGTTATGATTAGGGACAGATACCCTAGTAATACACATTCCTAACTTTGTCAGGTGTTCCTTCAGCAGGGAGATAAAACTGTGTAGCCTGCAAATCTTGCAACTTCACAGTGTCCAGGAATATCTTCAGAATTATTCTGAGTATTTGAACTGTTGGCCAGATGTTCCATTTTTTAAAATATTTTGTTTCATCTACACTTCTATAGCTCTGAAGTCTTGATTTCTTTTTATCTTTTAGTGATGCCAGGCATTGAAATACATAATAACTACAACATCTGACAAAGAAGCCTCAAAATAGTCAGCACAATTATGTGCAAGAGAAAGTAGCCATCAAAATGAGCCTGGCTTTCAGAAGTACTAACGAAGGCTTTTTCTTACTTCCTCTAGTAAGTGGATTTAGAACTCCTTTGCTCCACCCAGGAATAACTGGTCTGGGGCCAATATTCAGCTGCTGTCTCAGCTCTAGTGTTTTGGCAATGAAAACATGAATGTATTGTGATGAATCAAGGAATAATTAATGCAAGGTATTGGAATATAAGATGAACTTGCAAAAAAGAATAAAATATCCATCTGTTTTCTTTTACCAAAACAAAAAAAACCAAACAAACAAAAAACAAACAACACAAAGAGAATAATTTTGCTGAAAATTGCAAGATAAGATAATAGATAATTGCAATAAGATAATTGCAAGGTCATGAATTTTTCTAGGATTTTTTTATCCATTTGTCTGTGTGGAGAGAATCTGATGTTAAGACTCAGGACCTCTTAGAAGTTTTTCTCTCAGTTGTGTAACCCACAACTTATATGAAACTCTTTGTAGTTTATATTCTCAGAGGAATTCTTTCAGGCTTCTCCACTGTAAATTACTTTCATGGTTTTGGCTGAATAATGTGCTTACTAAGGGTTTAAAAGGAACTTTCTCCAAAACCCAGTGAACAAATTCAGGTCTTTTAAAAAACTTATTTGTCCAGCTTCTTCATTCTGTGTGTTGCATATCATTATAAATAATCAAAAGATTGAAGAATGAGAATGATCCATATATTCAGATACTAAATTTAAAAAAAATTGGACTATTTTATTGGCTGGAAAGGAGCAGAAATTACAGTGTTCATTATGTGTATCCTGACATTTCTGCTTGTGTTTAAAAATGAAAATCTGCACCTTGCTTTGGAAGACCTTTCATAACTAAGTTTTCCATTGTTTGTAACTTTTAACATTTAAGGCAGATTTTTTTTTCACAGCAGGAATTGCCTGCCTACTGGGTGAAGTTGACTTATTTTTTGTATGTTTCAGCTGAAAGAAGGTTTTGGATAGTTTCTGAACAAGAGGTAAAGGATAAATATGATGTTTTCCCTGACATAAAAAAAAATGCAGCAGTTTGATTGGTAGCCTCATATGTGATTATGTTTTGCATTTTTTTCTTAAAGTCTGGAAGAGACATTGATCCACTGTCAGAAATATCTGTTTTGTGACTGATGATCTAACTTAAGCTAATGCCTCTTTTTTCCTTTTATTTTTTGTCTTTTTGTTGTTTGCTTGTTTCTTCTGTGGTTTTCAACTGCCTGGCACTGATTCGCAGTCTGTGGTGACTCCTTTTAATCTTGTACCTTTCATTGTTGGCCCAACATCAGGAAACAGTGGAGCAATTGCAAAGGTGCTGAATGTTTGCAGGTTTAGCCTCTTCAGTCTTTAGCTTACATTTATATTCTGGACATTCTCAACAGATTTATTTCACTGAGGCATCTCTGGTTCTCACTGAGTTTTGGCCCACCTCAGAATATCTTATTCTTCTCTGGGAGTCCAAGACCATTTCTGAATGTGTAGCTTGTTATTTTGAATTGTGCTGGTTTTCAGATTTCTTTGATATTGCAATAAATTTCAGGGAAGCATCTGGATTAATTTTCCAAAATCACTAACCTAGCAATCATACCTAAATAAGCAACTGCACATAAGGCATGCTATATATCATGCATGTTAAGCATGTTGCAAAGCACACAGTCAATGCCTAAGTGCTGAAAATGCTCAGAAACGTTGTTGTTGGAGTGTAGCAAATGTAAAATCGTAGGATAATTTAGGTTGGAAAAGGCATTTAAGATCATCAAGTCCAACCATTAATGCAGAACTGCCAAGACCACCACTAGACCATATTCCCTAGTACCACATCTATGCATCTTTTAAATACATCCAGGGATGGTGACTCCACCATTTCCCTGAGCAGCCTGTTCCAAATCTTGCCAAACCCTTTTGTGAGGAAATTTTCCCTAATATCCAATCTACACCTTGTCTCATGTAACCTGAGACCATTTCCTCTTGACCTATTGCTTGTTCTTGGAAGAAGAGACAGACCCCTGCCTCGCTACAGCCTCCTTTCAGGTTGGAGAGAGCAGTAAGGCCTTCTCTCCAGGCTAAGTGTCACAGCTCCCTCAGCAGTTCCTCATAAGACTTGTGCTCTAGACCCTTCCCCTGCTTCATTGCTCTTCTTTTGGACACATCTTGAAGATCCTACGGACACATCCATTACTCTGTAACTTCCACTTCTTGGGTGAAGTTGCTATTCATAGCCAATGAAGGCACTATGTACTGGATCTAGTTGCTGAATCTTAAAAAAAAAAAAGAAAATCTGAAGTTCAGGCAAGACTGTATGTTATTGAGTCAAAATGTGTGTTCACACATGAGCAACACTATGTTTCCATGCTTTTACTGCTGAGCAAGCATGGTTAAGGGAGCAATTACACTTGTAGTTTAAGGATAACTTTCTTTTCAGGTAGTTATCTAAGAAAAGGATAGTTAATTTGCTTGTAAAGAACAAATAGGGCTAATGTGGAGTCAGTGTTATTTTATTTCTCTGAGCTTTTTAGCTTGTGAAATTTCAGGTGATGTGATTCCACAGCTGAGGCATACACTATAGAATTGGGGCAGTTGCATAATTTGGGCAGAACCAGTGCACTGCATATGGTGCTTATGACAGTGGTGGAGGCGCATCTGTGTTTTCGTGCTGTTTAAAACAGCCTGACAGATACATAACTGTTGGTCTGTATTTCCCTGCAGGAAACCAATAGGCCCCTCTCAGTCCCCATGTACAGGACTGAATCTTGAAAGGTTGGCACATTTCTGACAGGCCTCTGCATGTTCAGTGTTCATGATAGTTTTTGGTCAGGCTCCAATATCCACACTGTTTGTTGCCTTTATGCTTTTTATTTTTACTGTCAGAAAAATGGTGCTATTTGAAGGTACCTTGAGAAATGTGAGTTGGCTGGATGAATCAAGTTTCTCTGCTTCTCTGCTGCTTTTCTTCATTGAGTCCCTGTTCAGTCTTACTTCTTTCTGTGAAGGCAGCCAAACAATTGGAATGTTTTTGGCAGAAGACATAATTTCTGCTTAATGCTATTACTTGTACTAGTGGTTTTTGAATTTGGCACTGAGTTACTACCTCACATTTTCATGTGAATATAATGTTTTGTGATTTTATTTTTGCTTTTATGGTAAAATCTGGGCTAGCAACTTAGTTCTGTGATAAAAGAAATTATGATTTGGGGATTTGGGAATTTCAGTATACCGTACAATTAATTTTGCAAACATAAGCACTGTAGACTCATGTTTCTTGAATAATTTCCATAGTTAACTTTGGAGCTCTTTAGTCACAGTGACAGTTTTACAAGTCAGGAAAGGATGGATTTTGTGGGGCTTGAGGCCAGAGCTTTCAGAAAAGACAGGTAAAATAACTGTATCAGTGGTCCAGTTTTGGTTTAGTGAAGGATGATGTGCAAACCAATATTTGACATTTAGCCTAATGCCAAATCATCCAGTCATGTAGTAAACTGAAGAGAATTGTTGCTGAAGACCAGTAAGGCTCAAAATGCTGTGCACATGCTGCTGTTGCGCTGTTTCCTCCCTGTTGGCATTTAGCCTGTCTGCCACGTGGGTGGTCTTTGGTTGTGTCTCACTGCTGTTTGGTTGTTGGTTGGTCAGGGGCTCTACTGACCTACTCTGTAAAGCAGAAGCAACCTAGTATTTTTTCTCTTAAAGGAATTCTAGTTCTGGTGGGTTTATTTTGTTGCAGTCTTTAGAATAACAAAATAAGGTAGGCAGGAATTGCATATCATCCAGTTCAGAATGGGGCAATCTCCAAAGTTAGATTTGGTTGATATATCCACATGAGTTTTGCCCATATCCAGCTACAGAGATTCTGTAACCTTTCTAAGCAACTAATTCCAGTGACCTTACTCACTGTGAAAAATTTGCTCTTACCCATAATGCTGAGTTTTCTGTGTTACAGCTTGTCTCTCTCAGAAGGATCTGTGTCTTTTCTGTATTTGCTGACAAGGCAGCTAAAACCCAATAAAATCCCTATTTAGCCTTTTCTTCTTAAAACCAATTAATCAAACTCTTGCAAACTTCTCATAACTCATGTCCTGCAGACCCTAATCATCTTGAATCACCTACTGGACTTAGCTCAGGATATCCATGAGCAGGTCAAACCCGATACAGCACTTCAGATGAGCCAAATAGGGGGGTTTAATGACTTCCCCTTGTCTGCTGACTATGGTCCTGTCAACAGAGTGTACTACACAGGTAGCCCTTACCGCTATGTAGTGCTGATTCTACTAAAATATTATTTTGGCTCCAGATAAGACAACAGGTAGTTTAAAATGCAAATATTTGTTCCTATCTCTAAAGGCTATGGAAATTACCGTCTGGTTTTAAAATGTTTAGAAATGGAGATCTGGCAATGACAATATATATGACAATATATATATTATATATTATGTGATACATAATACTGAGTTTTAAGGCCAGTGAAGAGTTTACAACAAAATTGAAGGATGGGTAAATGATTTGGCTGTTCACACCTGATGAAAGTATGTCATAGTTTCATTATGAGAATGAAAAGAATGTTAGTTAGAGTGTCACAGAATAAAGCGGCTTCACAGAATGCACAGTGAGAAGAATAAAGCTGCTTCACAGAATGCACAGTGAAAAAAGGGGAGACAGTCTTTGACAAAATTCTCTACAGTTTTCTTTGCATTTTAAAGAGATGGTGAGCAGGGGGGAATGTAAAAGGCATGTATTGTCAAAGAGAAGACAAAACAAAGGAAAAAGAAAAGAGTTGGAGGACAAAAGACTGCTAAAACAGAGGAACAAGACAACAGAACAGGCTGAATATTGTTTAGTAAATAAAATGCAAATGAAGATTGTTAATGTAAAAATGAGAATATATCAGAGGGCAGAAGAGATAGGGGGCTGTTGGTGAGCTAATATGTGCATAAACATTTCCTGATGCATAGAGAGAGAATTGACCCTTGAAGACACTTAGTTCAAGTTAGGGAGAAAAACTAAAGAGGAAAGTACCTGTTCTTTATCCAACTAAGTTTAATTTAGGAATAGGTGAAACCTATTATAAACCAGTTGGTTTCATGCATTTTTATGCCTCCTCTTGTGCCTTTGTCAAAAGCATGACAAAGACAATAAGTGCTCTTTGGCTTACAGTATGCCATCATTAAAAGCACCAGATGCAATTTTTGTAGTGACAATATGAAGAAACTGCTGCAGCAACAGAGGAAAATTATCTGCCCTCTGTTTCTTCATGTCTTTTTTTATTTATATAGGTTAGTTGAAACCAACTGCATATGTCTTATCTCCTTTTGGTTCAAGAATCAGTAGGGAAGAAAAGCCAGGGATAACAGCTTCACTCTGCTCTCTGGGAAAATGTTTTTTATCGAGTTTCCAGATAATGAAGTTACTTTTATTAACCAAAATCTTGAAGTCTTTTTAGCGATGTGAGATTATATAAATTTGAAATAATACTCATGCTACATTCATCCATTTTTAAGGTTAATCCACTTGTCTATATTTTATATTCTTTTTAAAAGAAAGAGAATATTTTACATGTACTACTTGTATTTAAAAGCATATGTAAGTAATAGAATACAATACAATACAATAAGTATCTCCTCTGCAATCAAAGTACGATTTATTTCACAGCTTTTAAGTATCTAACAGATGAGTCTTACACTTGTAAAAAATACTTGAATTGGCTATCTCTATTATCCTGTGACTAGTGTTTTTATAACTGTCCAAAACTGGTTTGAACTTACTTTGAGTTGCCTCAGATTTCTGATACGCCATAAAGTTTCCTAAGATAGGGAGGAAATGTGACTCTTTTTAGAGGAGTGTGTCATTTAATCAAGACTTGACATCCACCTGGGCTAAGAAAACTGACTGTTTGTTCCCTGGGGAAAATGCTTTGAGAAGGTAACTGGTTTTTATGTAGAGTACCCTCCTAAGTTAGTTTTTTAGTTTAGTGTGCCCTGAGGCAAAACGTTTCAGGATATTTTAGAAGATTCTGCCAATCTAATTAATCTTATGGGAATAATGCTAAAATTCATTCTCTTCATAAACTATATGGTATTTCATCCTTGTACTGTCAATGGCAACTGTTAGCTGAATCTCTAAGGGAGACAAAAACAGACTTAGTGCTGTTCCAAGGAGTAGTGGAACTTGGTCTATTGTACCACCAGAGGTGAGGCAGGTTGGATAGCCCTATGTGTGGAAAAACTCTTCCAGGACTGGAGGATTTTTTGTGAAGAATGGGTGAATTTGGTCATGCAGCAAACATTTGCACCCTGTCACAGCAGCTAAGGCCACGATTCGGTGGTTGACTTCAAATTCTCTCAAGGCAAGACCAAGGAATGGGGGTTTGCAGCCACTGGGTCTCCAGAGTGGTCCCAGCAATCTTTCTGTTCCTGAGGAGGGGACTCGGTAGCTGAACTCCAGCTCAGAAGATGGACTTCTCAGTCCTGCCCAGGGAGAGAATTCACTGGTGTTGGTGCTGCTGTGGTGCTTTTGTGGGGTGGGAGTTACCTTGGGGTGCTCCTTTGTACGGTGTCCGTTGTTCTGCAGACACTCAAGAGGTTGGGGTTTTTGCCTCAGAGAGAGGAAATACTGCTACAGCTGTAATAAAAGACATTTGGAACTGCACTGTATGCTTTCTATCTTGCAGATATATGTTACTTTTGTATACCTCTTGTTTCTATTTAATTCTTCTAAAGTGCTTGTGTTGATGAATAATTAGAACCAGGATTGGTATGCTGTCCTTTTAAATAAGCTGTTATTTTGTTTAGATTTTTTTTCCATTCATATTCTAAAGTACTGAAAGGCAAAGTATTTTAATGGTGTTTTTCCATAATATTTTCCAGAAAGGATGAGGCAACAACCATTCCAGTTAGCACTATATTAAAAAGTGAAGGCAGCGCAGTGAGCTTAATTTTCCATTTTTGTCTGTCATAGATGTAAATAATTCAAATATATAAGCATGGAAAGAAGTTGACAGTTTGAAACTGGGACTGCATGAGTCTTCTAGGATAGTATTAGTATTTCTTGTGTGTTTCAATTTGATATTCTTAAGAAAAAGGTTGGTTTTCCGAAAGTATGAACCATTTAATAGTGATGCTGTTTTTCACTGGGCTCCTGTGGTAAACTAGAATGTTCATGTATTTCATGTGTATGCTTATGTAATTAAGCATCCACTAATTTCTTTCTCTTTGGAAAATACTTCTCCAAATCAGCACTCCATGTATGAAGATTTAAGATTATATCATCTGTTTGTTTAAGGTAAGCATTAGGACAGGTATTATTATTTTATAATAGATTCTTAATCCTTTGTCTGTGAAGTGTTGATGTTTTCATTAGAGTTAAAATATGTTGCACGTATACAGAAAGCCTGAAATCTCAATATGTGGTTTTATCAATTTTAATTATTTGAATCATTAGAACAGCTAATTTTTTGCTTAAAGGTACACCAATGTACTATTGAATCTGTTTTTAAAGGTTTTTTCCAGTTTAATGTCTGAATCCAAATTCATAAAGAGTTGGAAAAATGAGATGTCTGAGCTATAGGATTCACAGGGATTTTATATGAAGCCTATTTAATCAGGATAACACTGTTATTAATATTCATAAAGTCAGCTGGAACACAAATGACAGACTATGGAGCCTAAAATTTTTTACTTGCGAATTTATTAAAAGCAGCTTAAAAAATTAATGGAATTTAAGTAAAGTTGACGAAAATGAAAATCTTATGTTAGCAGAAAAAATCTATATTAGAACTTTGTCTAAGACCATCTTGCATTGATATCTTTGACAGATTTCATTGGTACTTAAAGAAGAAAGATGCATGAATGGTCATTTAAAAGGATTTAAACACATTGGCACATTAATTTTTACATGAATAATAAGTAGTTTCCAAAAGCAATTAACTTACAATGTACAAGATTTGAATAGAAAAATAGGACTGTGACATCAAAGGGCAAAGCAAATGTGCAGTACATTTTAAACTTTTAATAATATGACTTCTTAAAATATTTTTTTTCCACGGTAAGTAAAGTAACACCAAAGGTATTTGTGTAAAGCTTGGGTTTGTTTTGAAATATACCAAGATCTGGAAAAAATAAATATTTTTATGCTGAAGTGCTGTTCGTAAAGAACAGTTTTAAGGCCTTTACATTGATCAAGTGCTTCTGAATCAGCTTTCCTACAGTTTCTCTGTGTGGAAAACAGATACATAGTGTGTGATTTTTTTATCCCATGCTGCTATATGCAGCATTTGAAAGGATTTCTTATTTCTGTAGATGACAAAGCAGTTAGGTCTCAGTGTTCTTTCATTACTGTACTTAACTATTAATTTCATGTGACTGTTGCATTTTATATTCAACCGATAGGGATTTTTTTCTTTTTTATTTTCACTTTCTTTCATGGTATCCTAGTAGTTTTACACTAGCACAAGGTGGATAAATAAATAGTGAATAAGGAAACTAGATTTAAAATTACCTCTAGCATTTGCGTTATGGTTTCATTTTGTATACCATTTTTCTCTTGGTCTGCCAGTACACTTTATTTTAATCCCCAGCTTTAATTTTCTCTCATTATTACACAAATTGATTATTAGCAGATTGTCTTCAAATGAAAGTAAGGATTTATAATAATTGTATTCAATTTTTCTCATGATTCCTTGTGTGAAAACCTTAATGGCCACTTCTTATCATTTTTGAAATGCTGACTTTTAACACTCACTGAATAATGATGGTTCAATAAGTTTTGGTTCTAAAACTACCTTATGTTCAAGGTACCTTCTGTAAAGGTAAATCTTGAAGGACAAGGAAGTGTTGTGCACAAGTCAGCTACCTATTGCAGTGTTTGTGTTCAGAGCGACCAGTTTAAATACTTAGTGCCTGGAATATTTTGTTGTTCTGTGTCCTAACTTCTTTTTTTTTTTTTTTAATTAGTTAATTGGCACACCCTAGGGAGCCCCAAAAATCTTCCCATTTTACTTTGATCAGTAGATGACCTTAATCTGATATCAACTATTTTTTTTAATTTTCTCTATGTTTAAACCAGAAAATTCCTTTTAGTCAACAGAACCTGTTTCACCTATGAAGGCAAAGTCTGTAAAATGGGCCTCTTGACTTCAGTCATAAATTTTTCCTGTGCCATAGTCTATTATTTCCGGGAGAGGGCAGCATTTTCCTATACCAGGTACAGAAAGGCACATGCCCTGCTTAGACTATCAATGTTTCTTGTAATTACTCCCAGTATATTTGTTGCTTGCTTATGAATTAACTTGCATTTATGGAACTAAATCATTCCAATCATTTAATTACACCTGAGGAGCTGAACTATAATTGCTTGCTTCCAGCTAGGATCTGATATGGCTTGAGCAGTATTAATTTGGTGTTTACTTTTCTGAGTGCTAAAAGCATTAAAATGATTGTGCAATGGGATTACATTTTACTAATTGCTGGCATTCATTAGCTGGGTAAATGGCGAGGAAGAATGACTGTATATTGTGGAGGGATAAAATTATGGTTTTAAATAGTATATTACTAGACACATTAAGGCCCTAAGACATGTTTTAAAATACTCCAGAGGTTATTAAATACCATATTTTCTTCATGTCTTGCTATATGAATATCTTATTAAAATACTGCAATTATTATGAACCTTTTTGTGCAATATGTAGGGAAATGGCTTCATTGACAGAAACCTATTTCTTGATATTAATAACCCTCTATATTTTCAGCTAATCCAAAAGTAAATGAGGAACTTAGGAAAAGATTGCCAACTTCAAATCAACACAGTTACACAGAATTGAAGAAGAAGTGTACAGCTTCATTTGAGGGATTCTTTTAAGGGACTCAGTGTTCTGTGATATGAGGTGAACTTTTTATTTTTTGTTAAGACCTAAGCAAATCAAGTCCTATGCATTTTTTTAATCATGCAGATTTATAGTCAACAACAAATATGAGATGAATATATATTTCTTGAATGTTTGGTGTACATGTTAGTGTTGAATCTTAAGTGTTTGTACAATTAAATTTTTTTGCAATTTTAAATATAAAAATGAAATAATTGCTTTTTTAGTGTTGTATGCCAAAATAATTTCTCCTGCTGCTTTATTATTTAGCGTATGTGTCTTGGTATAATTTGGTTGAATTGTAAAATATGTACTTGATTTTTTAATTTAATCTCTTACATTTTTCAGCACAATGACAACTGAGTGTTTTCATAATCTAGTCACTGTATGTTCAAAGGACATGTATCTTTTTAATAAATGTAAAAAATGTAAAACAAAATGTTGGGAGGGAAAACATACAAAATAAGCACAATGCATAGTTAAGGATAAAAATTGTCCTATGTACAATATTTTTTTAAAAGGTGCTTGAGTAAGTAATACAATTTGTGGTAAGCTTACTATGTTACCAAGATTACAAACTTATTTAGATGTCCTTGAGATACAGAGTATAATTGAATTTTTAACACATAAGAGAGTATATATTTTAACACCCAAAATTATGCCTGGTAGACATAACATTTTACTGTAAGTCCTATTGAGGGTTACTTATTGAAGATCTTTGATTATATGAAATATTGCAACTATGTAATTAACTGAAGCAATATGCATGCAAATATTGGAATGTCATAATTTAACTGTTCAGAAAGAACTTCAAATTCAGAGTTGGAGTGGTCATAGATCACTTTACCTGTATTTTATCTAGGAAATTAAAGGAAGAGAAAGAATGGTGTGAAGTGAAGCACATGCCACTATCTGTAATAACTGCCAAAGTGAGCAGTCTTGTTGTCTGTAGCAGGACTGCTCGGTGTGATTTGGGCTGTGCTCAGTAATGTGTACTTCCAAGACCAGACTCTAGAAGAAAAAACCAAACTAATAAATATTTCAACAAAGACATCACATGCAACAGAAAGCTGAACAAAACAATTATAAAAATTAGATGAGTGAAGAAAAATATTTTGCTGAGAAATATAATTTTTCACTGACTGTTAAAGTATGCAGATTTCATTGTGATGCTATAAATATTTAAAATACTTTGTTTTGTAAAATTTCTGTCAAATGAAGGCAAAGTATAGGTGTATTATATTGTTTCAAGTTTATTTATCTAGAGTTGCTTTGTTTTAGCTCTGAAACCTTCAAGCAAAAACTGGACTCAGTGCCAGATCAAACAAGTTCAGAAGAACAAATGGAGAACTGGTCAAAAGGTAGGGACTTTAAAGATATTATTAAGAAACCTTAGGTGTTATACCAGTGCTAGGCAGTGACTGGAGTGTGTTTGTTCTTCCTGATATATGACTGACTTTGGAAGAAAAGGAAAAAAAAAAAAAAACCACAACCACATACTGCCCCTTAAAAGAACTTGGAGTAACAGGAGAGCAGCTATGTGAATATAAAGCTTCATCTTTATTTTCTGGATTATTGAAAACGTTTTTGTATAACTTTCAGAAGACTTGTTTAAATTCTTAGTCTGTACATTGCACTTTACTTTACAACCTTTTTTTTTAGGTGTTAGAAATAAATCTGAAAATCTGTCCTAAAGTAATTTTCATGGCTATTCACATCTGGCTTGGGTATGATTAAGCCATCTACTAATATTAATGAGTTTCTCATTAGTAGTTCAAGTGAATTTAGACAGTAAAGTAAGGCTTGGAGATGTAGGTGGGCTTGGTTAACTTAGAGCTTCCCCAGCTGATGGAGTTTTGATTTTCATCAGGATGCAAGTATCTTTTTGTATTTTTAGTTGGTTGACCAGACATAATTGTTCTCAGATACATTCTTCCATGTTTCATGACAGAAACCTAAGAGGTAAAAAGCCCCACTGAATTTGAGAGTACATTACATGACTGACTGACTGACTTTGTAGAAGAGAATTTTCAGAAGTAGTTTGTGATTAGATTGTGACATGTAGAAGAAAAAAAAAGGGAAAGACATAAAAAAGACACCTGACTTAAGGGTGGATTTTTGCTAGTAAGTGAATATGTGTAGGTTAAAAAACCCAAAATGGAATAAGTGTGTCCACGTCAAAATTTCCCTCTATATCAGAGCCTCATAGCTTCTTGCACACTTCCTTTTTTTTGAGTTTTATACTATATATTCTCTTTCAAACGATAATAAATGTCAAGTTTCTCCTAGAGAGTTTGCTTAGAAGAGGGAAAAAAACGCTTCATTTTGTAGATGATGCTTTTCATATGTAAGGGAATTTCTGCCTATATAATTCTGTAAAATAAACTACTTAAAAACACCTTTTAATTTATGGAATTTTGAGCTGTTACTGGGTGAAGTTCAAAAGTTTTTGAATCATATACTCTGTAAACAAAAATAGTCATGATGGTGTAAGTTAGTGGAGAATTGTATTCTGACAATACAAACATGTAATGGCTTAATCAGGTTTAGTATTTTTAGACCTTTAGGGGTCAGCATACCCTAAGAATGGTTCAAAAGGTTAAGTTTTCCAAAGTAGGCAAATGAAACTCATTCTTTGTGAAATATATTCTCTCTAATTGCAGGAAACTATGCTCTGCTATTGCTCAGAGATATTTTAAAACTGAGTAGGTACTGAGTTTCAGTTACTCAGTAGTTCACTGAGTTAATGTATTATTTTTCTGATGCATTCAGTCAATATTTTGTGCTGTTTAGACAGCTGTTTCTTTCAAGCTGACACTTTATGTATCCAATAGAAATTTTTATATAAACAAAAGTAAAATTTATACACCTTTCTTTAGCATAATCGTTAATAAGTCATGTAATTCTTTGTGGTTTTGCTCCTGGGAAAGTTAGAAAATGGGATTATGGGTAAATCTGTCATACTGGTGTGGATGAGAATTTTTTTTCTCAGAATTTAATTTGGGTATTAACAGCTAAATTACATTCACTTATAAAGATAATAGGTCAGTTTCAGCAACATAATGTTCAATATCTGTGATTAGTAGATATTGTAGTGCATTTTCTCATTGTATTACTTAAGCACAGCAGCTTCTCATTTTCTGTGTAAATGTGTGTGTTGAGGAGTGTACTATTTTGTGTCCTGCTTACTCTGTCATCTTCATATATTTGCTTTGTACAGTTGGTACTGCGCTCTATTTAGATTTTTCTTTCTTGTAACGTTGAAGTTAAAAAGCTGGGTTTAGAATAACACTGTAATGATTTATTCACAATTTTTAATAGCATACTGAAATATTGGAGATTCCATTATTTGTCAACAAATAAGGATGGTAAAGCAAATATAAGATTAAATTTATCTGACTAGATGAAAATTCAGTCAAGCAACAAGAATTTTAAAGAATAGAAAAAACAGGTACAGAGAAGTGTTAGGTTTATGGCAGTTATTTGGGATAATGTGTAACCTGTTAATCAATGTTATAAAATAAAATACTTGAAAGGAAGGTAGTGTTTAAGAGGAGTGTGTCTGAAGTGTTTGATAGGTGAGATTTTCTTTTTAACTTTCCGAGTTGTTTAGAGTATAGTATGCCTGTGTGGATTGAAGAATTTGTCACTGTTCCTTTCTATTAGGAAGAATTAAAGAACAATTTGTGTGCAAGGCTTGTTATTTTGTGTTTGTATCTAGTTTAAGTGTACTCTTTCTCTTGTTTTTAATAGAAGGTTAATGCCTTTTTTCATTTCCCTCTAAGGATACTTGAGAGAATGTATCAGGAACATTGGCAGCAGACCAGTGAGGCCTGTGCCACTTAGAAATGAAAAATATTCAGGATCCAAGCTAGACAGCCTAGAATAGTATTAAATTATGAAAATAAACTTGTATTGGCAAATAGGTGCATATCTTTGCATTGCAGTGATGGTAGGTGTGGGAAGCACATTGCATTGGGGTAGAGTTGTTACTTCAGTAGGGTTTCCTGCATGATGTGAACTATGAAAACAATAATACTGTGAAAACACAAGAGGGAACCTGAAACTGGGTGGTTTTTCTTCTTATATTTATGTTTAGGACTCGATATGGCAGTTCCCTAGAAGCGTTACCAGGATTGGAAAGTGGCAAGTGTGCAAATGCTGGAGTTAAATTTGTCTTATTTGACTCGTGAACCATGTTTGTTTAGGTGCAGCTATACTTCTGTATTATATAGTCTCTAACTATTGTAATGTTTTGGGTTATGTCATATTTATGAGCATCCATGCTTTAAAGACACAGCAGAAATTAGGAGAAGTTTTAGAATTTTAAGTACTGTTCGGGCTCTTTTGACAACAAAATTAGAGTTTTGCTGACTCCAGAAGTAAAATCATTGTATAATTTTTATTTGTAAATTCCTAAGACAAGTTAATAAATTGATTTTTTTAATGGCAAAGTTGTTTGCTTTCTTAAAAGGTGATTATGTTTTTCAAGCATAGAAATAAATATTTATATATTGCTAAGCCATTACTTGAAGCATATATTAAAATGTAACTCAGTGAACCAATTTCACTTCTCAGAATTTGATGGCAACTTTAGTTATGATCCATATAGGCACTTTCCATATATCTTCAAAAGAATGCTTGCAGCTTGTAAATATACTTCAAAATTGCATGTCTGGAAGCTAGTTCAGAGGAGACTAGCTTTAAAGAGCTGTGATAATGTAGAACATTATCACATAGAATTGGAACAGAACTGCAGAATCAGCTTGTGCAGGAGAATTGGAGGTGTTTTATCTGGTGGTGAGCTTTCTGGGGTGTTTTACATTCATGGTAATGGAGAAAATGTAGTCACATGCAATGTTTAAGTAAAATGAATCATCTTTTTGTGTAACTTTGATTATCTTATTAGAAGTAGAAAACTCTTCTAGTTGTGTAATAGTTTTAATGTACTTTTTTGTAGATTTGTTTTTGCAATATTAATTACAAGGATTTTTTGTCTGGAATTTCTATTGTGTGAGTTTGACACACACAAAGATGAATGGGTAAAGAAAGCCTTGAGAGTAATATGGTGTTGTAAATGCTCTAGTTGGGTAAAACTGCAGCTAATTGTAAAGGTGCTGCTGCCCATTTCACCAGACAGTACCCAATGCAGCTGTAAACACTCTAAAGCAAATCAAAAGCCCCTCTTTCAAGGCTGTAACAGAAGCAAAAGTAAGCATACTTGTCATAGTGAAGTCTCTTCTTTTACATGCCTCAACAGGAGATACTGTGAGCCTGTTCTCCCTCTCCTACCATTTTTTAACAACAAAGTGATGTTTATTTGGAAAAGAAAGAAGGCCTGAATATTGCAAGGGTGATTTGTATGCAGAAAAATCTATGTGATATGCAGAGGCAGTGTCCTCTACACCCACGTGGCTCAGCTGATCAGTGTCTTCCACATGTGCTGTGCTTTCAGCATCAAACTCACTGTGTGCTGTCAGATCCCCTTGCAAAGTGCCAAGTGTAGTTGCAGGTTTCTCTGAATGATGTAAAAGGCTGAAAAGAAGCTGAGAGGATGAACTTCCATGAGTAAAACCTAGGAAAGTCCCTAGTAACTGTAGAGCAGCACTAAGTGTAGAAGATGAAGATAACCTTTTCCATGGTAGAAGAAGGAATAGTGTGGTATAACTTAGAAGATAATAATGCACTAATGATAAATGAAAAATCATCCAATACTGTTTGGTCTTTCCTGTAAATATAATCATCCCTTCATGCATATAAATTCTCATCTATTCTTTTTCCATTCTATTTCTTTCCTAGTCCATTTTGAGTGGTAGAATACAGCACATTTTTAGCTAGATTGCATGCAAAACAACTCCTCATCAGAAGTACAACTAAATATCCAGTCCTTGCCTTACTCACTGCAGGGTAGTGAATATGATTTTGTTGAACCCTTTATGGTACACTCAAAATGTGTAGGGCCTTATCTACACTGAGGGCTGCAAGCGCTAAGGATGGGGAGAATGCACACCTTGAAGTATTGCACTTTGAATCTTAAGTGTATAAAGTATGAGTGCAGCTAACTTCAGAATGCCTTGAAATGTACTTCAGAGAGAACAGCACTTACTACCACAGTAATTTTTAAGTAGTGCTGCAGAAGGAGCTTTAGAAGACCTTGCACAAGTGCAAGAGGAATTTGGTTATTTTCTTCTTCAGAAACCTTCATTACTTCTATTTTTATAACAGGTAGAATGAGACTTAAGTTCAGAGCAAAAATATTTAAAAATTATTATGAAAAGGTTTTTTACTTCTAAAGCTGTAGTTCCCTGGGATTTTGTTTAGAACTCTTAATTCAGCAAAGCTTTAATTGTTTGTGTGTGGT